GCGTCCTGCGGTATGTCAAGGGCACTCTGTCCACTAGGCTTCACATCGGCACAGGCAGCATCACCAGCTTGACCGCCTACTCCGATGCTGATTGGGCTGGTTGTCCAGACTCTCGGCGCTCCACATCAGGCTACTGCGTCTTCCTCGGTGACAACTTAGTCTCTTGGTCCTCCAAACAACAGACTACTGTCTCTCGTTCGAGTGCGGAGGCTGAGTATCGTGCTGTTGCGCACGCTGTGGCTGAGACTTGTTGGCTTCGTCAGTTACTTCAGGAGCTCCACGCACCCATCTCTTCAGCGACGATCGTCTACTGCGATAATGTCAGTGCTGTCTATATGACCGCCAATCCAGTTCATCATCGTCGCACGAAGCATATTGAGATAGATATTCACTTCGTCCGTGAGAAGGTTGTTTTGGGACAGGTCCGGGTTCTCCATGTTCCATCGTCTCATCAGTTCGCGGACATTATGACCAAAGGGTTACCTGTACACACTGACTTTAGGTCCAGTCTTTGTGTTGGTGACACTCCCGCTTAGACTGAGGGAGGGTGTTAGAATGTATTAGTAACAGCCCGGCCCATTGGCCTTGTACACATTGTAACCCTAGCCTATTAGACTATATAATGAAGGTCACCCCCTGATTAGGGTGTGCGGTGTTTCTCTACACTACAGACCAAGAATCAATTCAGTATAAATCAGCCAGCATGGTTATCTAAGCAAGAGCCACGGCAGTCCTTTCACTATAGCACAGAAGCCTCTCCTTTGCACTGTCTTCTAAGTTAAGTGTACATTTGTTATGGTATTACATTGAAGCAATAGTGATGAATACTACAAACCTGATTTGGGTGTGCGGTGACAAATGTTGAACAACTCACGTGCATGCCTCCAATCCAATACACCCCGTCCACACCACTAAGCCCTCTCCACGGCGTAGCCTCGAAGCAAGGCGACGGTCAATGCTTTCAGCTCCGTGGTTAGTGCTTTTCCAATTGGAGATAGGGTTGATGATGCATGCAGTGTAAATATGGTAAGATAGAATCAAACAAATAAAAATCTTATTGTCTGTTGTTAATGGGGAAAATTAAGATGAGAGGCCTCAGGTTGTACATAATCTACAGGAACCAACATGGTCAATATATTATTTAACTGCAACATACCAGCCTCAAGTTGCACCTGACGTGAATCCAAGATCAAGCAAAACTAAACTCAAGCTCAATCAACAACCATGGACTGAATCAAATAGTCAAGACCATGGACTCAATCAATAGCTCAATACATGAGTAATCAAAGGCCCTTAGAAAGCCTTTTGATTCAATCAATAGCTTAACACGTCTCAATCAACAACTAATCGGAAGCACACATTTGATCTTAGAAAGCCTTTTGATTCGTGTGACAACAACTAAAAAAATAAATTACTGATGTGAAAATCAACCTGCAGAAGGTCACCTTCCACGATGGTGGTGTTGCGAATCAATTGCTGGCGGCCGCCAAACCAACCCTCCCCCCAGCATGCTTGGGCCAGCGGCAGCCGAATGCATAAAAGATTGTTTACCGATTATTAGAGAATGTCAGGAAGAAAAGTTTCTATATATTCTTCAATGGGGAAAAGAGGATTCTTTGACTTATCTCCTAAAAGAATGCAAAATTTATTCCACCAGGTCACATTTTGATCCTTTGTTGTCAGCCACTCATGAATGGGGAAAACGTGTTGCAAACAGCAAACTATGTTACCTGCCCCATTCGTGGTCTCATTGCTGCAGAATGGCAAATGCATGTAGCTGCAGCTCCGATCATATGAAACATCCTGTTTTCATCGAACCAATTTTCCTTCCTGGCTGTTCTCAACAGGCAGGTGTCGATTATGGAGAGACTTTCAGTCATTTCATCAAACCAACAACGATCAGAACAGTCTTAAGCATTGCCACTGCCGCTTTTTGGCCAATTCATCAATTGGATGTCAAGAATGTCTTCTTGCTTATTAATCTCTCTGAAACCGTCTATGCCAAACAACGCACTGGTTTTGTTGATCAAAAACCATCCAAAATATGCGTGCAAGATCAACAAATAACGATATGGCCTAAAACAATCCTCAAGAACCTGGTTCCTCCAATTCACCACTTTTGTTCTGACCTTGGGTTTCCAGGCTGCAAAAAGTGACTCCTCTCTATTCATTCTCAAGTCATGAAACCAAACAGTCTACTTGCTCGTGTATGTTGACGATATCATTCTCACTGCCAACAACACTACCCTGCTCAGTGGTATTATTTCATCCTTGTGTCGTGAGTTGCAATATCAGATCTTGGCACACTTTAACACTTCCTTGGCATTTCAGTTGAACACACTAGTATGGGCCTATTCTTGTCTCAAGAACAATATGCTGCAGAGTGCAGAAATCCTCGAGCGAGCAAACATACAGGACTGAAATCCATGCTCAACAGCAGTAGACCCCATTATCGGGAAAAAAAAACACCAGTAGACAAAAAGTCAAAACCATCTGCTCATTCCGGCTCTCCAGTTTCAGCCCCGACTGACGACAGGGGTATAGCTGGGCAGTGCAAATACCTCACACTCACTCGGTTCGACATTGCTTTTGCCGTGCAACAAGACTGTTTGTTCATGCATGAATTCTTCGCTATTTCAAGGGCACTCTTCATCATGGTCTGCACTCTGCACACATACAAAGATCAACTTCAGACTTGATTGCATACCCGGCCGGTCGAGTATGGCAGGCAGCGCCCATCAGGCATCAGCGCGGCGTTGCTGCCGAAGCCGACTGTGCGGCACAAGACCAGCGGCACGAAGAAGGCGAGCACGATCGATGACGCCGAGTGGCCGGGAAGAACATGGGCACGACCACGGCGAGCAAAAGGCGCGGGCGGGCGGTACTCGCGCCTCGTCGCCATCCGGCCTTGGCGATGTCCTGGACCTCGGCCTCCACGTCCGCGTCGGGCCCGCACACCTCGGAGGATGATGGTAGCCCGCAGCAGTGATTATGGCAATAAAAATTGGAGTATCAGTTTTTGGTACTAATAAATCAATTAATATATCTATCTATCTATCTATCTATCTATCTATCTATCTATCTATCTATATATATATATATATATATATATATATATATATATAATAATAATAATAATAATAATAATAATAATAATAATAAAGAGCCAAAATTTCTGGCCATTTTTTTTCGTTCATCCATTTTTTCGTCCACCTCCCTCTAACTACGGGTAGTCCAGAGTTTCTTCTGTCCGGACTTATATATATCATGTGCTCATACGAATTAAAACAACTCTTGTCTAGCGTGATTCAAAGTTCGATTCTAAAACGTAATGGACTAATGGGTCATCTGCAAGAATAGCTAAAACGTAATGGGTCATCTGCAAGAATAGGAGTACGCGAAAGAAAAATTAGAAAGGAAAAAGAGAGTAAAAAAGAGGGAAAAAACAAGTGGAACACGGAAAATAAATAAAGAGGAGCATACGGACACGGCAGAGGAAAAATCACGTAAGAGTCTGGGTCACATGAATTAGGATTCTTTTCGCTAAAAAATTAGAATTCTTTTCTTTGTCGTTTAATATTAAGGAAAGATTTGTCTTATTTTTATTCTTTTCTATTTGAATTAGGATTCATATTCAGGTTATTTAGAATAGATGTATTTATTTGGATTAGGAATCCTAGCTATTCAGAGGTTACCTTAAAACTTATATCGAAGTCATGCATATTCATATAATCTAGGAGGGATGAGATAGTTTTCACATTATTTATTATATAGGTATAGATAGATATGGAACGTACGGGCTCACGGCGTGCTCCCAGTAAAAATTTCATCCAGCCCGATCCGTCTTTGTTTTTCCGTGTCCTTTTCCTCCCCAGCGTTCGATTTCCCTTCTTCTTTTCTTTTTCTTTCCATCTTCCATCTCTGTTTCTCCGTTGATTTGTGCTGTCCGCGTTCATCCATGATTGTTTTATTTCTCCCCCGTCCTTTTCCAGTAGGACGTTCCTCCGAGCTGCTGGCGTTTGTCGTTTTTTTATTGATGAGTATCTCTGGTCCAATCTTTTCTTATATAGAGATAAGCATATAAAAATAAAAAATAATTATAGTTTCACGAGTTTTTGAACCTTGATCCATCCTTCCTAATAAACAAATATTATCACCACTAAATTATCAATATCGTTTTAATTAGAAATAATCATGATCTATGCCTAAATCAGCAAAGCGGTTTCTCGTCCAATCTAATTAAAATAAATTATCTAGAAAATGTATGTATATACCAGTGCTATCCTTGATGAGGGCTGCCACGTTAAAATCGAGAGAGGTCTTCATCATAAAAGCATTAACCGATAAATCAATTCCTAGCACGACGGCAACTAATTAACTTATTAGTTCTTACTGAATTTAATCAGATATTACAATTACTCCTCCGTTCTAAATTATAAGATATTTTGATTTTTTAGGTACATTGCTTTTATTATGAATTTAGACACTAAGTGCGTAGCAAGAGCAATATATCCCGGTGCTATGCGCAATTTTTGATTCCGTAACTTTCGTGCTGCCCCAGATAAAAAAAAAGAGAAGGCCATATACGTGTGGCTAGGTGTAGTGACGTGGGCAACCATAAAACATGATCGATTTATTTTTGTGATGCTGTATATACAAGCCAGATAAAAAAAAGGTCATATACATGTGCCTAGGTGTAGTGCCGTGAGCGACAATAAAACATGATTGAGCTTTTATTATCCAAACCAAAAAATTTAATTATAACATGAAAATCTTTCATTTTATTTCTCATTGCAATGCACGGACATATTTACTAGTAGCTAAAATTTATAGGCATGCTGCCTGATTTTGGCATGGTAAACTTTGGAAACCAACAACGGAGGCCCCTATATATTCTCCCGGCCGGCAAGGTGACGACGATGCAGGTAGCGCTGGCGCTGCAGCCATCGTATCGCATTCCCCTCAAACTTCTCCCACCACGGCAGGCACCACCTACAGCAATGGACGACATCATCGTCATCGACGAACCTGAAGGAGTGTTTCCGTCGCTCGGCGAGCCCGGCGAACCAGGACATTCCAGCAGGCGCAGCGGCCGTGGTGGGCGCGGTGGCCGTGGCGGCCGTGGGATCGGCCACCACGGCGGGCACGGTGGTGCTGGCGGGCATGGCGGGCTTGGAGTTCGCGACGCACGTGGCGGACGTGGCGGACGCGGTGGCGCTGGCGGCCGTGGCGGATTGCTCAGCGGGGACGGAGGGACGGAGGGCAAGGAGGGCCCGGCGGATACGGAATGCTCGGCGGCGCGGGCGGGCCCGGCGGGTACGGATCGAGCGGCGGGGACGGAGGGCCCCCCGCCTGGCCCGGCGGTGTGGGAGGACGCGGCGGGGACGGAGGTGGCGGCGGCCCGCCTGGGCCACCTAAACGGCGTCGGCGAGCCAGGCGCGGAAGCAGTCGCACAACGTTTCGGCCTCTGGATCAGCCTCCGCACCACCAGCATGACCTCATGCTGTGTTAATTAAATATAAACAAAAATATACGTGGAACTTGGATTATTCATCCGTGTCCTAGTGTTAATTAAATATAAACAAAAATATGAATGAGTTTTGAAAAATAAAAAGTGACATAAACGATTTTTTCTAGAAATGTTCGCTAATTAGTGGCTCTGGGTGAAATCACGGGAGAGAAGCAGAAAACGTGCTGGTGAAGAGACGAAAGAAAGAAAGAAAATAGAGCACGTGCGTCAATTTTTGGCTATAGAAATCATTGTATCAATTTTTTGATACTACTAATTAAATGTATGTATACTGCAACAGGAAAAAATAACGCCACGGTAATATAAATATGAATGAGTGTTGTATTGTTACATAAAAACGATATTTTAAATGTGATGTTTGTTTTATCACTATTACATGAGTCTGCACGAATGATGAACGATTAAAATATAATTCAAGTTTTGATGTAAAATTGAAATAGCCTAGTTTATACTGTAATAACCATATTAAAAGCAACTATCTATTCTACCACTTGTTGTGCAGTCATGTTTCGTTACCTGCATAGGTGCCTATATGCAAGCTAGCACTGTTCTCAAAGCAAGCCCAGCCTGTATCCCACCATTCGACCAAATCGAATGTATCTGTACCCGCTCTGCAGCACAACACACTAGCCACTTACGCAGAAACTAATCACATGCCGTATCCAAGCAAACCAAACAATATCAAATTGCATTGTCTTGTCCAAATAAGGGTATGCTGCCTCTAATGCAATATAAGAGCATCTCCAATTAAACCCTCAAATTTTGAACCCCTATCATTGAAAGTAGGGCTCCCTCATCCAGATTCTATCCCCTACTTAGCTGTGAACTCCATCCGATCTCTCATATTTGCCTCCCTACTTTCTTCCACCTCTATTTTATGCATATCTTGTAACTAACAAATCAACCATTTTTAACAGCTATATTTTCAACGTTTATACTTTTGAGTAATGGCTACATTCCAATGGCCATTTTTTGTAATGACAATTTTTTCGACGTCTCTTTTTTAGAAGTCCATATTCCAGCAAATTTGTTGCAACGTCTCTATTTCAAACGGCTCTATTTCAAACGAATCTATTTCCAACGGCTCTATTTCAAATGGCTCTACTCCAAACGGCTATATTCCAACGTCTCCTGATTTTATCTTTATATATGCTTGCACACTCACCTGGTTCATACACCAACTCATTCGTTTTTTGCTCCTTCTCTACTCTGTTGTTCCTTCTCCACCAGAAATGAGTCGTCTCTCTCGCTTAGATTCATCCTCATCTTCGGATGATGATGATGAGCCTGAGCTCATCCTTAGTGCATTACACCAAGCCCACACTCAATATCTAGCTTTGAATAATCCAGGTTGGGGAGGTTCTATACCTGGCCGGAACTATATTCATAGAGAAAGAGAAAGTGGCCATTTTAGACTCTACAATGACTATTTCTCGAAGCATCCAACCTATGGGGAATCTATATTCCGACGTAGGTTTGCAAATATCTTGGTCAATTCATTTGCCCTCTTTTCTCATGCTCTTTCTATGTGTAAGTTTTTTTATTCTCATTTCTTTGCTCAGGTTTAGAATGGCCCGTCCTCTGTTTCTTCGCATAATGCAAGCTATAGAACAACATGACAATTATTTTGTGCAAAAAAAGAGATAGATGTGGACGACTTGGGTTATCATGTTTGCAGAAGGTTACTGCAGCATTGATGATGATCAGTTATGGAGTACCGGCAGATTTTATGGATCAATATATTCGCATTGGTGAAAGTACGGCCCTAGAGAGTCTTAAAAGGTTTGTTATAGCTGTAGTCGAAGTGTTTGGAGGTGAATACCTAAGATCTCCAAATGAGCATGATACTACTAGATTACTTGCAATAGGTGAGCGCAGAGGTTTTCCAGGAATGCTTGGTAGCATAGATTGTATGCATTGGCAATGGAAAAACTTCCCTGTGGCATGGCATGGTCAATATACCGGTCATAAGCATGAGCCCACTATCATCCTTGAAGCTGTTGCTTCCAAAGATCTCTGGATTTGGCATGCTTTTTTTGGTTTGCCAGGGTCTCTCAATAATATCAATGTTCTTCACCGTTCACATCTTTTCTCCAAGCTAGCCGAAGGGGAGGCTCCTCAAGTTAATTTTACCATCAATGATCATAATTATACAATGGGGTATTATCTAGCGGATGGTATATATCCTAAGTGGGCAACATTTGTGAAGACCATAACTAATCCGCATGGCAATAAGAGGAAATACTTCGCCAAGGCACAAGAAGCAGTACGGAAGGATGTGGAACGAGCCTTTGGAGTTTTACAAGCTCGTTTTGCCATTGTTCGTGGGCCAGCTCGTAGCTAGGATAAAGAAACACTTAGAGAAATTATGACAGCTTGTGTCATTATGCATAACATGATAGTCGAAGATGAGCGAAATGAAGAAGATGACTTCCACTATGAGGGTATTGGCCAGCTAGTGAGACCTACACAGCGTGAAGTTCGTAATCGCACACATGAGCTACATGAGTTCATGCAAGCTCATCACAATATTAGAAACATGGAAACCCACAACCAGCTTAAGGAGGACCTAATTGAGCATCTTTGGCAACGTCATGCAGACTTGTATTAATCATGTACCATGTACTTTATTGAGGCTTGTAGTCATCATTTTAGTATGTAATTTAGCACTATATAATTTATTCAGGCTTGTAATCATGTACTATGTAATTTATTATTGAGGCTTGTACTCATCGTTTTATTAAGCATGCACCATGTATTGTGCCTTCTATTTAAAGACACACATAGCTCATAGTCCACATATAGAGGCAACAAGAATTAAACTTAGTGGTTCGGACATATTGTTCTTACATAGGTCCTACAACAATACTTAAATGACACGATGGTTCACAAATATTGCCCCACACACATAATGCCCCACACATATAGCTGTCATCTCAAAGTGCTCCGCCACCAAGACAAGCAATGATCTGATCTTGCATTGTCTTGTAGAATATTTGTTGCCGCTCACTCAAAGAACTAAGATCCATATTCATCACTTTCTCATCGTCCTGCCTTTGTTTCAGTTGTAGTTCTCGTTGCTTCAGATCAAGCTTCCTATTCTCTACTTCTTGCTTCAGTTCAAGCCTTCTAGTCTCTACAGCTAATCTTTGATCATTACGCTCTTTTTTCCTAATCTCTCTCAACTCTTCGGCCTTCTCTCTCTTGAGCCACATATTTTCCATTGCTTCCATGTATAGGTTTTCTCCATGAGCAACAAGATTTTTACCTCGGCGATCTTTCTCCTTCTTCTTACCGATAGGCCTACCTTTCCTTGGTGAAGTATGGCTGGGACCCTGCTCTTCATCACCAAGATGACTTTCATTAGTTTCAGGAGTACACGACCTTAGACCTTCCCTGGAAGATGACTTCTGTTTTTTTGCAGGTCTTTGGTCAGTCCACTTTTGTTCATGCTGCAATACATTCCAGCAATGCATCAATGAAAACGATCTTTTTTCTCATCTTTCTCCTTGTACATTTCAAGTGCTTGTTGTATCTACACAATTTAATATGTGTTAGTAACCATGAATGCACATATACATTTCTAACAAATTGAAAGAAAATGCCTCTTACCTCATCTTGTTCAGTCACACCGCTTTGGTTTCTATTTTGAATCGCTGTTAACCATCCACAAAATCTGTTAACACTTTCATTAATGATACCCCAGCGATGAGAGAGAGAACTAATATTACGATCAGATTGAAAATCCTTGTGCTCATGGAAGTAATCATGAATTCGTTGCCAATAGGTAGCACGAGGTTGGTCGACGCCTTGAACTGCATCCAAGCTTACTTCTAGCCATGCTTCCACCAACATGTTATCCTCTTTTAAAGTGAAATTTTTTGATCTCTTCTTGCTTCCTTTCGTAGACTGAGAGGCTTGTTCAACAACATTCTGTCCTTTAGGTGAGATACCAAAATAAGACCCTGTGCCACATTGGGCATTTCCATCTTCAGGTGAGATACCAAAATAATCAACCTCAGTGTTTTCCACATTGCTCCCAAAAACATCATCCCCGGCCCACCCCAAGCGGCGGCACGCTCTCCCTCGCCCGCCTCGCTTGGTCTGCTCCTGCCGTCATTGGGGGAGCCTGGAGTGCCCTTCTTCTCCTAGGCCTGCTCTGCGTTGAGGCAAGGAGGGAGGACCGAGGAGGAAGATGAGATAAGATTTCTTTCAATGACATATGGGTCCCACTTGTAAGTGACTGTTGTTGCACTTTTGTAGGCTCTGGTTTGGGGCTTCTGATATAAAATAGGTGCCCAACAAAAGTAGTGGGAAGCACCCAAATTAGAAGTAGGGCTCTGATTTGGAGGCTCCTGCTAGAGTTGCTCTACAGAAGATTGCTTTTCTGTTACTTGAAACCTGATAATGTGGAGAAAATATTTGCACATAGTATACGTCATTTAAAGTTTTGTTTTATGACATGTATATTCAGAGTTTAGATTAACAGCGCAAAAGTGCAAATTGAATGTTTCAGCAAGTTTTGCAGATAGTCCAGCACTTGTGTTAGCCTAAATTACTAAAATGGCTTAACCCGTTCAGCAATAATAGTTAGTTCAGTGTAAATAATTTCCTCAAAACTGAGCAACACAGAACGACAGAAACATTCCACATATTTAGCCTAGGCTCAGTTCGGCTGCTCTAATAAGCCGGCTTATGAGCCGACTTATCAGCTATGGTACAGTGTTTTTCTCTCCCAACAAATCAGCCGTACAAATCAGCACAAGCGGCTTATAGTTCCTAGGGCGCTTAACGAGTACTAAACAGCATAGAAGCATTTCACCAAACACATGGGGAGCACACATGGTGAGTTCCGCTAGAGAGAAAGTAGGAGTGTCGACGAAATCTAGTCGGCAGTCTACAGTAATAGATGAATCGGTGGAGGCGCACGTGATGGGAACTGGACGGTGACACAAAAACGCAAGAGACAACGATTAGGCAAGTTCA